GATCCCACTCGACGAGAATGGATAATCGTAGGCAATCATCTCGGGACGAGACCTCTTTTGCCTTCGAGAGGGGCATCGAGGATGTGCGCGCTGTGCGCAGTGACGAGTGGATGTCTCGCGGATGAGAGTCGGAGAGACTTAAACAATAATAACTGCCGTGTGATCGAAGTTCGAGCGATTCTGAGTCGCCGTGATCATCGTTCCTAGACGCTCGTAATTTTTTTGTGATCCGTCGTGAAATTTCATCGAATAAAATGGCTTCGAATATCACCAAGACTCAGAAAGGTCGTGAAAAACTTATTCACGAGGGCTGGATGTACGTCCGGGACCGTGTGATAGGCGGAGGAAGTGTCCAGAGTTGGCGGTGCATGTATAAGAACGCTTCTTGTCCGTGCCGCGCTAGAGCGTACACCTCTATTGAGTCGGGGGAGGTCGTCAGTACGAAAGGCTCACACACGGATCCGGTCGACCCTTCGGAAGTCGAGACCACAAAAGTCCGTGAAGCCATCAAGCGACGCTGTGAAGAAACAAGTGAACCACCATCGTCGGTGATGTCCTCAGCGTTTCTCACGGCTTCGAGAGCAACTCTCGGACGACTCCCGGAGCGCTCGGTCGTGGCGAGGATTATAAACCGCCACAGGAGCGCCGTTTCGAACACTCCGGCTTTCGAATCTAGGAGTTCCATAGTAATTCCAGAACACTACCGCGAATATGAATTCGAGCCCGGACGATTCGAGAATTTCGTCGTAGCTGACAGCGGTGTAGGAGATGTCGACCGCATAATCATTTTCGGAAGAGAGTCCACGAGAGAGTGGATAGGCTTAGTCCAAAAGCTATTCGTCGATGGGACCCTCAGTCTTTCCCCACCGACTTTTTCTCAGGTACTCATAGCTCGCAAGGGTCGACCCAGGGAAGGGGTTTCCGCTATGGAGGATCCCATTGGATTCATTCTGGCCAATCCATTTAGCTTCCATTGACCGCCCTCCAGATTTTCGTGGTGCTAGCCGAACGGTCACAGTGTGTCCTCCCGGTCGCGTATGCGCTGCTTCCGAACAAGACCGCTGAAACATACACGAGGGCGCTGAGTCTACTGAAGAACGCGTGGCCGGCTTTGAGTCCTCTGGCCGTGGTGATGGACTTCGAAAGGGCTGTCATGAACGCCGTGCGCAGCGTTTTCTCATCCGATACGAGGATGGATGGCTGCTTCTTCCACCTCGTGAAGAACATCAAGCTCAAGCTGGCGGGAGAAGGGCTTATGAGTCGGTAAGACCCGTTCACTGAGCTGATCGATGGAAAGATGAATGGATCGACTGGATATGCCGAACGATTTCATATGTTCGTTTCGATTTCTATTCGAACCTTGGAGAGAGGACTCCTCTTTTCCGGCTCGCCAGTTCCGACCCTCATTCCTTCATAGCTCCCTCTCACTCTTCTTTCCCGATAATGCTTTCAACAGGTATAGTAATGACGACGATTTCGCGCTCAACGCGAGGATGATCGCGGCCTTGGCTTTCGTTCCACCAGCCGAGCTGAATAACGCGATCTCCGAGCTCGCAGCACTTCTTCCGCCGGAGCTCGTCACCGTTCTCAATTACTTCGAGGACGTACATATACCTCGGGAGATTGAACAGAGTCACCCCCGAAGGAGTGATAGAGAGACGGGAGCCACTGTTCCCGGTAGACATGTGGTCAGTCTTCCAGCGAACGCTCGACGGCGAAGCGCGTACAAACAACTACGCGGAAGCCGCTCATCGACGCATGCAGCTTGAGTTCGGGGTCAGCCACCCGACGCTGTGGAAGTTCATCGAGGGCTTGAGGAGGATACAGAATAATCGAGACTTCCAGCTCGAACAATTCCTCGGAGGTGCTCCAAGTTCTAAGAAGCGCGATAAGTATGTGGAGGCCGACAGGAGGATTTTAGAGATCGTGCGGGACGTTTCGAACAGGACTCACGTGGAGTATCTGCGCGGTATCGCGCACAACTTCTTCATGGAGTCGTAACTTGTGGTTCGACAAGTTCTGCTCGTCTTCGCAAAAAGATGTGTAAATTAAAGTTGACGAGATTAACCATCAGTCCGCCGCGATCACCAGGTCCTGCTTCCCGTCGATTTCCCATGAGTGATCAGCTTCCTCAGATGAAAGATCCTACCAATTCGGCGCCCAAATGGCATTTCGCCCAAATGGGATTCGCCCAAATAGGTTTTCGCCCAAACGGCATCTCGCCCAAATTGCATTGCGCCCAAATGGCATTGCGCCCAAATGGCGCTGCGCCCAAATGACATTGCGCCCAAATGGCATTTCGCCCAATTGATGCTCGCGCCCTCTTGACTTTTCGCCCAAATGACCTGTACCGGATGAATCGATGGAATCAAGAGGCGCCATTGTATCTGCGAATACGACCAAGACCGCCACATATACACCCCAAATCATATGGGACGCCAGTGATCGTACACATCTGGAGTACCAGGGAACTGAAATGGACCGCGGAAGAGAAAGAGCAAGCAGTTCGTAATCATTGTGCTATTCAGAGAATCATGATGATTCCAGTGGTCGTTGTCATAGAAAATCAAGAAGGAAGGGTGAAAAGAGTGCGACACAGCACAGAAACTCAGGCCGGGATCGATCCAATGACGAAAAATCTCACGATGATAGTCGTGTCGAGAAAAGGTCAACTCCGACGCCCCGTCAGCTTCTCAAATCTCGAAAGACACTTACGAACCCTTATCGGATTCTGCGGAGAATGTTACTTATGCAAATCTCAAGAAAATTTGCTCAATCTTGGAGTACCTTACAAAATGTCTCGAATGCTATTAGACATGGAAGCTACTTTAGCTTATGCAGATTAATAAACAGAATGATAATCTCACGACAAATCGAATGACAGAGATCTGGACAGAGATAATGTACTAGTGATGATACAATACATCGATGCAACAGCAATAGGATCACTGTCAAGACCGGATTCCGCCGCAACAGGGTCTAGAATCGGTACAGGCACTACTCGAGCGGTCGCCTTAAAGATGCAGACAGAAGAGGACGGTCATCACGTGGGAAATCAGCGTCCATCAGCTATTTCAGTTTTCATAAGCCTATATTCTATTGCATCGGCGATAGCCGATAAATGATACGCGATACGTGTCTGTCATCAGCCTACCTAGATGATTGAAAATGTATATGTATGAATAAATTGTCCAATGCCTTTCTGAAAACAGCGTAGTTCTACGCCCTCATACCGCCTGAGTCCATGACTCGGGCATCCCGGGAATTTTTTATTCTACGCGGATTCCTTCAACTCCGTAAAACTCATTCATCGACAGCAGAATAATCGTCGTCTTCTATCGATTCAACCTCTTCCGTTAAGGAGTGGTAGTCGAGTGAGCATCGCACCTCTGGATCCGGGGTTCTCCCTTTATCCCGTGGGAATCGCCGCGTAGAGACTATGAGAGGATCTGAAGATATTGGTGGATATGAGTTGAAGAACATTGTCGCTCTCTGTTCGCTCTCCAGTTACCTCTGGGAACGAGTCAACGCCGCGCCAAGACGCGACGCTTACGTTTCCGAATGGAAAAAAGCGTCAGTCGTCTCCAACGCTGATTCGGATTCGAAACAGTACATGAGAATGGTCCCGATCTACGAGATCAGATCCCAACTTCGGACAGACAGTATCCGAAAAGTCTTCCCAGCAAGTCCAGAGTCGGCTGACTTGACCGGAATCATGCGAGAATGCGAGATCAGGACGGGAGTGATGTGCGCATCCATTCCGCTTTTCGATCGCGTGTACTCTTTTCACCAAGACTCATTCAAGCCATCGCTGACGTAGAGGTCCATTGCATGAACACCATGAGAGGTATGAATCGGGATCTCAAGCGTCACTGGATGATTATGTGATTATGATGAAATCATTGGACGGTATTTCAGGCGGCAGTCTTAGTTACAGTTATGTCTTCGATCTCAAAAGCCGAATCCGATGGTCCTTGCCACTAAGCATGTGGTGTTTCGTCGCCAGATGTTGGACGGGTCTCACTTCTTCCACAACGTTACCCGAGAGGTTAGATGGGACAAGTGCCCCCCTCATTCCCCGCACGGCATCGCATTGATCTTTCGATGGAAGCCTGAGCTTTCTTCGTGGGTCGAATCTTTCTTTAAGAAATTTCCGTCCGCCATTTCTCCACCCTTCCACCTCTCAGGCGCCTTGCGAACTCCCGAATAGCGAGACTTCTCCTGACCTTTGTAATTCACCAGGGTAGTTGCTGGAAGCATTCCTCATGGATGTAAGTTCCCGCCAGGTGAATCAGTATTTTTGTGATCTGCTCCCCTAAGTACACGGGCCCCAGCGTGCTATCATTCTAGGAGACCTACGGAACCCCCAGGGATGGATACGGAAATTGAATGGCTAATACCTCGACTAATTTCCTTCCCATCGATGCATCTAAGTGGTTGGCGCGTTCTGAATTCTGAACAACACAAGCTATAGAGCAGTCGCGGAGTGCCTGAAATTTTGTTGCATGGAGGACGATGTACATTGATTCTAGCCCCTGCGTGAAATCGGAGACTGATACACGTCGGAGGAAACCGAGGGATCTCTCACTCCGGCATGAGAACACGAGTCCATCTCTGTGAAAAACAGATATACGGGCAGCCACCGAGATGGGACGAAATGAGAGCTCCAATTTTGAGGACTTGCCTGCCGAATGATGTCTATTCTATCGATGAGCTTGTTGTCGGAATAAATCGATCGAAAACAGTTCACCTCTCCGTCGCTAACCGATTCTGGACAGAGCTGATTGAGTTACTGAATGGATTCGCAGGCGGGAAGATATAACAATTTATTCTCATTCGTCAATTTCCTGGCATACTCTCCCGGGAAAATTACTCAATCCCGAATGGGTGATACTACACGACGACTCATACGAGAGGGTCTATTCCCCCTCAGGTGAGGGACGGTGCCGTTTCAGGCTCGGCTCGTCGAAGGGTGGAGATCGACTTTTTGACTCCCTTTTACTTGCGAGTTGAATCCTCTCGAGGAGCGAGTTCTGGAAGGCGGATTCTGCTCCGTTGGCTGATTGCGGAAGAATCCATTCCAAGAGAGCCTCGCTGGGTCCGGGTGAATAGGGTTCGTGGGCCGCTTTGAATATGACACCAGCGACTCCATGCGAGACCTGCGACCTGAATTTGTGAGCAATTATTTTGCTGGTCATCTCGAGCGGGAAGAAGTCTTTCTTCCTTATCGAAAAAGGCTCCTCCTTCAAATCGATGATTCCCTCCTGCGCATATCGCCTCCGGACATCTATGATCTCCCTCTGGATGCACCACTCTCGCTCGCTGAAATCCATCTTCCACATTTTCTGAAGTCGGAAATGAATGATGTCGTGGATGAGATAGCGAGGTCTACATATCCCTCCGTCCAGATCGAACACTAATTCCCCATCGAGTAGAGTCGTGAAGAGAGGTTTCGAGGCGTCCTTCGAATAGGGGAAGGAGAAACCAGACACTCGGTAAACCTCATCTCCCTCGCCCAGCAGGAAAGTCACTCCAGGGTGCGTCATGAGCAGGAGGAAACGCTGGCCGTCGGATTTCCAGGTCACCCTATAGGCAGCCTCCGATAATTTTGGTAGACTCTCCTCGCCGAGGCGCGTCCGGAGGGCCCCGGGGAAACCTGGCTCCCGGCACCCGGAGAGCTGAGCTGCGAACTTCCGGACCCGTGCAGGATCGTCGGCGATGGTCAATCCGGGAATCTTGGCCATCAAATCACTTGATCTTCTCCCGG